CATTTGAGTATTTTCATTTCAAAACATATGGATAATGCATGATTATTTGTCCCTCACAATCATACATTAACATTTCATAGAACTCTTAGACATGTAGGCATACTTAAGAAGACATGGAGTTTTGAAGAAATAATTCTATGTAAAGGTTCGAATCAACATATGTTAGATGTTCTTCTAGCTAAGTATTACTTCGGGTAGCCCATACAACTTAATTAGACTTAAACTACACAATACAATGGATATTTGACATTAACAGTCCATTTGGTTTTTCATAAATCCAATTCAACCCACACAAATATCCATTTTCACATAAAAAATTTAAATCTTGTAATTCCATATTAGTTCATTCCTTTCAAGTATGGAATTTAATTTAATCAATAAAAAACACTCAATTTTATTATTTACATTAACCCGACATTGTCCATCTTCTTTATTATTAACCCTAGCTTAGAATATTCATTTCAAGAACTAGTGCTTCATACAAATAATATTTTTTACTTCACAACACATTCTACGTATATAATTTATGAACATATTAAGTGCAGGGTGAAGAAATTACCTCATGGTAGCCAAATCTTGAATTTTGAATTTCTAGGTTTTCTTAATCAAAATGAAGATTCAAATAAGAATCTATAGATCCCAAGGTTTAATCTTATTAATATTAGTTTTGGGGAGTTGGAATCAACTAAAAAATTATTAAACCTAATCTTAGAGTGTATTTTTGGAGGAAGATCTCCTCCTCTTCTCTCTAGAAGTAAATACCAAGTCTAAGAACTAAATCTTATTTTTCTAACACCACATTTCAGCCCATTTAATAAAATATGAAGGTTTGTGTAGCCTTTTGGTCCCTTGCGTAACTTTGGTGCGTAGGCTATGCATGGCCAGACCTTCCCTTTCTCTTTCTTGGCAAGTTTCTGAAATTGCCTACGCAAGGCTGCGTAAAATGGTGCATAGGTTGCTAAGACTAGCTTAGTTGCTCTGTCACCCTTCAGCTTAAAAGGTTATGACTTCTTGTAAGAATATCCAAACAACAAACAATATGAATTGTTAAAAACTAAGTTAAGAGGTTCAATTGAGGTATGTTGTCTAAACTCCCTCTTCTTAAAATTAAATCCCACGGTATTCATGCAATCGACGTAAGTCCCAAATTGAACGTCCTAGAAATTGCTATCCCGAATGTGCTTGCTTTGCGAATGTATGTGTAATATGTATTCCCATGCTTTCATCATGTTATCTCGTCATCTGAGGAAATGTTCAAGGCTTAGAATATGTGCTAATATACCTAGACTTCAAGTCAAATTCGATTAAAGACTGTTATGCCAAATTCTGTGAAAAGCCTCTATGTGCCTTGAATTCTAAATTGCTCACATGTGAAATCAAGAGTCTTGAATGAAAACTGTATTGTTATTGATGATAATAAAAATGTTGGATTGTGGAAAAGAACTTGAATTATGAAATAAAGTCAAGTGCCAAGAACGACTTTATAATTAAAGCCACTTGTGCCAATGTGCTGAAAAGATGGGAAAGAAATATGAATTAAGATGATCAATTGAAATGGTTGAGGTCTTGAATGAGATGACTTAGCCGATCGGGTCGAGATCGGACTCTGTGTAATAACACGGTGGTATTGTGAGTAAAATTATGAACATGGTTGATATCTCAAATGAGATAGCTTAGCCGATCGGACCGAGATTGGACTCCGTATAAGAACACGGTGGTATTGTGGACTGTGGTATATTTGCACTAAAAACCATCCAACCTAATAATGCGGTAATTGACTTAAAAAGTTATGTGATCCTTAACTTGATGTTTTGATATTATTTGAAGCTCTTATTGAATTCTTGATTGTTCCTCTTGTATTATTATTCATTCTATTGAGATGGTGTTTAGCTATACATACTAGTACTATTCGATAGTACTAACGTCCCTTTTGCCGGGGGCGCTGCATCTTTAAATGGATGCAGGTGGTTCCATAGCAGACAGTGTTGATCACAGATAGTATTGCATCCTCTTCTCGGTGGACTCGGTGAGCCCCATTTCATTCCGGGGTCATATAATATATCTTTTGTTTATATTGTTGTACTTTTTGAGATATAGTCGGGGCCTTGTTGCCGGCACCTTCTTTACACTCTTTTGTATCTTTAGAGGCTCCGTAGACGCTATGTGGGTTGTATATGGGTGATAGAAAGGTCAAACGGATTATGTTGTATTTTGGACTTTTGTTCTACTAAATCACAAAATGTATGTATTTTGAAACTTAACAGGGAAGTAGCAAAATAAAATGGTTTAGTAATGTCTATATATATGGCCATTCTACTGTTTAGCTAATAAAAACATGCCTTCTCTTATCATAAGCGAGTTGGGTAGAAAGTGTCTAACAGGCTTGTTCGACCGGGCCCACTCGGTTGAGCGCCGGTTGCGTTTTCCGAGGTTGGGGCGTGACACAGCCAAGCTGCCCTACACATAGCAAGGAATCCTATGTTTCACGAGTGTACGAAACACATTGAAGTGGACTGCCATTTTGTACGAGACCAATTGAAGGGAGGCCTGATTTCTCTACACCAAATTTCAATTGATAACCAATTAACCGATATTTTTACCAAGTCCTTGATAGGGATCAAACATTCCACACTCCTTGGCAAGTTGGCAGTGAGCCCCTCACCTCCAACTTGAGGGGGTGTTGAGATTATTCATTGAATTTATTCTTTTATTCATTTCTTGTAATGTAGTTAGTGGAATAGTTAGTGAGTTGTTAAATGGGAAGTGACAGTTGTCACTAGTTAGTTAGTTAGTCCAGTGATTGGTACATGTTCTATAAGTAGGAACTCTAATTACATTTTTCATTTTTGAGTTGATTAAATGAAGAGATCAGCTCCTTTTCTAGAAACTTCAGTTTCATTCTTCCCCTTTCTGTACATCCTCTGATTCCTCCATTGGATCTCCTGCTGAGCTCGTGTTCCTTCCATTGGACTTACAATTTCACACTCTGGTCGTAGTCTTAAGATGGTTTTTCGGAAGAGTCTCTGCGGGAATCACTAGTAAAGAAACACTTCATTCTGAAATGGATAGATAAGTTATAAGACATAACCTAAGAATGTGACTTGATTCAAGAAGTTGTAGTAGAACCCCATTTCAAGAAGTTATGTGCAAAAGAAAGGTGGGTGAATGTAAGCTTTCTCGTAGGAAGAGATTTAAGTTGGTTTCAATTATGTTCAAAGATATATGATTTTATCTTATAATGTAAAGAGAATAGTGATAACGATATTACACGAGGATGTATAAGAACTACAGTATAAAGAGCTGATGTTTCATATGTTTTAAGCAGTGTAAGTTCATGTTTATGAAGTTTTATGTATCATGTTATGAATGAAACTCATGTGCTAATGTCTCCACGGCTTAGAGACTCAGACTTTTATGCAAAGTTAATGTTTATGAGGAGAAGGTATTGAGGTGATTAGTATTGTACCTTCTTAAAGTACCTCGTATGGCTTGTGGATAAATCTCTTGTTTGTTTTTTGTTGTTAGCTGACAGGTGGGTAAACCTACATACAAAGAAGACTCTGCCTAAATTTTTAAAAATTTAAAAAATTTGTTAAAATTTAAAGCGCTAAGGAAAATGGTGAGTGACAAGAAGCTTAAGAGTTTGTTATACAGATGGATGGGGCTAAGTTTCAACATTTAAGAATGAATATCCCTAAGTGAGGAAGAAGGTAAAGCCCAGTAAATTTTTGTAAGATTTTAAGACTTAAGTGCGTCAACAATAATAAGAGTAGCATTTTATATACCAAGATAAACTACGGATTGGAACCATATTACATGTTCATGATAATAAATGAAAGAGGTATATTAAAAATGATTTAGCGTATAAGGAGAGCCCTAGAACCAAGCCGGGTTAGAAACTATGCAAATGATTTAAGTTTCAAATGAGCTTGTAAAGATTCAACTTTAAATGAGCACAACTCTCAAAATACAAAGAGTTATATGATGAACGACCTATCAAATGAAAGGTCTATGACTATTTTAGCAATATAGCAAAATTGAACTCAAAATTAGGAAAACGATCATAATTCTAGCTCACTTGAGCATTCTATCAAACACTATGTGTGTATTAAGGTTTCATGGCCCTTTTTATGAAAGACTCCACCAACCCACACTCCATTCTTTTCTATCTTTAACTCACAACCTCCCCACATACCTTAGGAACACATGCATCCAAGGTAAGTACTCTCATCCTCATGAATTACCTTACTAATGTCCAATTCTAGTTACATTTTAAAATTAAGAGTTTGGGTGATAGAATCTTACCTCTTAGGAAGAAGACCTAGGTGCCTCTCTTGATAATCTTCAAAGTTTTAAGTGAGAATTGAAGAGAAATTTGATGAAGATCACTTTCTCCCTCTAGAACTCTCTCTCTCACTCTAAAAATATCAGAAAATAAGTTCAAAATGGTCCAAGATAGATATTTTAACAGAATAGGGTCGAGTTTAAAAATCTCAAAAAATGAAGCTCCGGAATAGGTTCTGCGGTCGCATATGTGATTGCATAATGATTATGCAGTCCGCGAAATGACCGCGAAATTTGGGTGCCAAAACTAGAAAGGAGCTGACCAGGTCTGCGGTCACTATGCGGCCCGCTGACCTGTTCTGCGGTCGCATAATGCACCGTAGAACGGTTCTGCGGTCGCATAGTGCACCGCAGAATCTCCCTCCGAAAAATCCCAAAGCGGTATATGCGACAAAAGTGCGGCCGGTCGCATAATGGGCCGCAAAAATGACATTAAAAATGGCCCAAAAGACTGCTTCACTCTGCGGCCATTCTGCGGTCCGTAGAGTGGTTCTGCGATCGCAGAACGGGCCGCAGAAATACCTACTTCTGCCCAACATTTTCCTTCAACTCCCCAGTACACTGTTCAATCCAAAAAGTCCGAACCGTGACTATTAACCTCTACGCTTATTTCAGCATCACGAAAATCTCGGTTTTTAGGAAAATTTTACGGGGCCTTACAGGCTTTCGCATAATATAGGAATAGGCAAGGATAGAGGAACAATTAGCTTAGTGAGAAGCCTGGAAAGCCAAACAAGCTCTCTAACAACCATCCTAGCTGACCTGTACTCAGCTTCTGTAGAGGATATGGAGATGGTGGATTGCTTCTTAGATTTCCAACTAATAGGACTGTCCCCAAGTAATACAATGTATCCACTCACTGATTTTCTGGATTGGGGATAGGTTGCCCAATCAGAATCACAGAAGGCTTGCACTGTGTAGTCTGCATCATTAGCAAGAAAAATTCCCAAGCTTGGGTCACCTTTTAAGTACCTTAGGACATAATATGCAACCTTCAAATGTGGTTCCCTGTGACTTTGCATGAACTGACTAAGATGTTATACACTATAAGCAATTTCTAGCGTAGTGTTAGTGAGGAAGTTGAGCTTCCCAATCAGCTTCTTGTAGTGGGAAGGGTATGTTAATAAGGCTCCTTCATCAGCTTTCACCTTCACAGATGAATCCAGAGGAGAAGTCATAGGAGGACAATCTATACAGCCAAATTCTTTCAAAAGATTCATAGTAAACTTCTTCTCTGATATCAACACTCCTTTGTTTGTGTATTGGACCTCTAAGCCTAGGAAGTAGTGAAGCCTCCCCAGGTCTTTTATCTTGAATGTGTTGTGTAAAAAGTTTTTCAAGGACTCAATCTCTTGCAAGTGAGTACCTGTGACAAGAACATCATCCACAAACACTACTGATCCTTCATCCTTCTTATAAAACTACCCCCTAGAACATAATGCTTCAGTTAATTTCTCATACTACTGTCTTCTTGCTTGTTTGATTCCATACAAGGACTTGTTTAATTTGCACACTAAACCTAACCTCTCCACATCCACCCTGGTGGCACCTCCATATACACCACTTCATGGAGATCTCCATGGAGGAATGCATTGTTGACATCCAACTGTAAAACTTGCCATCCTTTCTTGATTGCTGTTGCAATCAAAGCTCTCAGAGTTGTCATCTTCACTACTGGTGAGAAGGTCTCAGTATAGTCTATCCTAGCCTGCTGTGTGTAACCCTTCATAACTAATCTTGCCTTAAACCTTTCTATGCTTCCATCTTCTTTATGTTTGATTTTATACACCCACTTACACCCTATTGCCTTCTTTCCAATTGGAAGAGAAACTAAATCCCAAGTCTTATTTTCATATAATGCTTGGAATTCCTGATTCATTGCTGCTTGCCAAGCAGGTTTCACAGCAGCTTCCTCACATGAACTAGGTTCACATTCATGTGAGGCAGTTTCCATCAAGTGTTGATTGTTAGAACTTAGGGCATTAAGGGAATTGTAATGAAGTCTGGGTGTAGATGTCGTAAAAGAAAAGGATGATGTGCTTTGGCTATTACTGAAAGATGGGGGCTGATCATGGTGTGCATGCTGTGGTTTAGGAATTGTGTACTTATAGTCTTTAAGGTAAGTAGGAATTTTCAGGGTTCTGGAAGGTCTACTCTGATCTGAAACTAAAAGGTTTTGGTTTTGAGTAGAGACAGTTGGACTATTAGCAATAGGAAAAGTTCCTGATGTATGACTGTCCAAAGGTGACTGAGAAAATGTTGAGTTATTATCAAAAGAAAGGGGTTGAGGTGATATTGGACATGATTCAGACAGTTGCTCATTCCTAGACAAAGTTCTTGGTGACACTTCATGGTGATTTTTCAGTTACTGAGTGTGGAGTAATTCCTATATCATTGGCAGGAAAGAGCTCATCTGATAGGTGTGATTTCATTTGAGGAAATGAAGGGAATACCTTACTAGGACTAGTACACAAGGCAAATGGGAAGACTTTTTCATAGAATACTACATCTCTTGAGACACTTATTTTCTTTGTGGCCAGATTTAGTACCTTGTAACCTTTTGTCCCAAAGGGATATCCCACAAAAATATGGGGAGTGGATCTTGGTTCAAATTTATCTTTGTGAGTTTTGAGGGTAGTAGAAAAATATAGGCACCCAAAGCTTCTAAGATGGGAATAATTTGGTTTCTTTAGGTACATTAGTTCAAATAGGCACTTAGCTTTGAGTGATGATGAGGGTAATCTGTTTATCAAATAGGTAGAGGTCAAGATACACTCTCCCAAATATTGCATGGGCAATTTAGATTGATACAAGAGTGCCCTGGCTGTTTCTAGCAGGTATTTGTATTTTTTTTTCACCACACCATTTTGCTGTGGTGTATATAGGCATGTTTTCTGATGTATGATGCCCTTTGATTGAAAAAATGAGGTGGCTTCAAAACTGGTGAATTTAAGGCCATTGTCAGTTCTTATAGTTTTGATACTAGTGTTGAATTGGTTCTCTATCAAGGCAGAAAAATCCTTGATAGTTTGTAGGGCATTGCTTTTACAGCTTAACAAATGAGTTCATGTGGACCTGCTGTAATCATACACAAGTGTGATGAAGTATTTATATTTTTTATGTGTTGTAATAGGTCAATGTGTAACAGCTCAAAGATCTTAGTGGTTAATGTTGTTCTTTCTGGGAAAGGCAATCTGGTTTGTCTTGCCATTGGACAAATAAGGCAAATAAAAGGTTGTTTAGGTGCAAAAGTAACAGGTATAGAAGTAATTCCTTTCATTTTGACAAAAGATACATGTCCTAATCTGTTATGCCACAAGAGATCAAGCAAGTTCTTTGTAGTTGAGGAGGCCTCAGACAGACAAGAATCACTTTTATCGCTTGAGTTATTTACAGAATTATACAGATGTGGAAATGAACTATTCTCATTACTACTGTGAGATGGAACAACACAAGTAGATGCAACATGGATGGTAGAATGTGGCTTATTTGTGTTAGCTAAATGAGGAAGAAAAAATGAACTAGATGTGTTAATTGCAGAGTATACCTCATCCTTATTAGCAGTATGACATGGAAAAGATGCGCAAGATGAATCTGGGGAAGTGGAACCAGTGTTGTAGTTGTCTGAACAGTGGAGGTATAGATCAGTCTTGGCTTTATCAATCTCTAGTGGCCTCTTCAGTGAAGGGCCCTGTAGAAGAATGCAGACAAACTTGGTAAATATCACAATACAATCAAGTTGTACTGTCAATGAATGGACTGATATCAAATTGAACTTGAAACTGGGCACAAAAAGGACCTTTCTGAGACTAAACCTAGGACTAAGGATTATATCACCAATTAGTGTCACCTTTACTTTGTAACCCTTAGGTGGGGTAACTAGGTAGGGATAAACTAAAGTTCTGATGTTGATTAGTAATGATGTATTATATGTCATATGGTTTGTGGCTCCAGAGTCAAGTATCCAAGAGTTAGCCCTTGAATTTGACTTCTCACACAATTGATCACTAGAATCAAAATGAGTAGAGCATGCTGAGATACCTGCAAAGTTCACAGCTCCTCCATTTATGGTAGTGTTTCCGGATTTGTTTCCTCCTCCTTGAAAGCTCTCCAAGATGCTGAGTAGCTGTCCATATTGCTCCTTAGTTAGGTTGTGTATAGTTCAACCTTGCTCCTGACTCTGAGAGTTATTTCTATCATCTCTTACTGCAGCTCCTTTACTTGATGACCCAAGCACATTTCCTGCAATCCTTCTTCCTTTATTGAATTTGAAGTTCTGTGGTAATCCGTGAAGCTTATAACACTTTTTCTTAGTGTGCCCTGGCCTTTTACAGTACTCATAGAACAATCGAGGTCTGTTAGTGAACTGATTTCCCCTACATCCATTATTTGTGTTGTTGTTCCCTTTCCGAGTGTAGTTTGTCCTGAAATTATTGCTTCATGATCCATTTGCATCCAAGGAAACAGAATCCATCAAAAAATGAATACTTGGCTTAACTTCCCTTTATTTTTCCTCCTGAATGAGAATGGAGAAGGCCTGGGCTATTGTTGGGAGTAGATTTATCATCAAAAATACTTTCTCTCACCGCAGTATATTCTTCGTTTAGGCCTATCAAAAATTAGATTAATCTTCTGTCCTGCTTAGCTTTGTGCATGTTCTATTTAGCTCCACATGTGCATATACAAGCACACGTAGCATGTATGTTCAGTGTATTGAGTTCCTCCTAAAGCTTCTTTATTTTTGTGTAGTATCCAGTAATGTCCAAGTTCCCTTGACTCAAACCATTTATCTCCTTCTGGAGCTGATACAACTTAGCACCATTGGTCTAATCATACATGTCTTCTAATTTTTGCCAAAGTTCCCTAGTATCATTGACATACCGTAGGCTGTCTGATAGGTCTTTAGACAACGAGTTTAAGATTCACGAGGTCACCATGTCGTTGCATCATTCTCACTGGTCGAGGGTAGCAGAATTGGGATCTGGTTTCTTACACTTTCCTGTGATAAAGCCTACTTTGTTCTTCACGGAGAGTGCTCTGAGGATTCCTCTTCTCCAGGATTTGTAGCCAGTTCCGTCAAAAGCCACCGACACTAACATAGATCCGGCACTCTCCGACGGATGTATGTACAGCGGACTCGTAGAATCTAGGGTTGTCTTATCTGTAGTCAGAATTTTGTCATCTCTAGCGATGCTTTAGTTCAACAAAGTTGAAATCGTTGTCAGCAAAACCAAATTACTTAGGTGAATCGACTAATTGATCGATTCTTACCCTAATTCCCAAAAACGACGAACAATTACTTTCTGTATAAACATAAGTAATCGAAATTCGTTGGAAGGAGGCTCTAGGATTAATGCCTGTGCTCTGATACCATGTGAAATTGTAAGTCCAATGGAAGGAACACGAGCTCAACAGGAGCTCCAATGGAGGAATCAGAGGATGTACAGAAAGGGGAAGAACGGAACTGAAGTTTCTAGAAAAGGAGCTGAGCTCTTCATTTAATCAACTCAAAAATAAAAAATGTAATTAGATTTTACCAATCACTAGACTAACCAACTAACTAGTGACAGCTGTCACTTACCATTTGACAGCTCACTAACTATTTCACTAACTACATTACAAGAAATGAATAAAAGAATAAATACAATGAGTAATCTCAACTAAGAGTGTGACATGAAAAATCAAGAGATGGCCCTTTGCTGTTGTGTTATTTTTATTGATTTGTGAGTCAGTAGTTGAAAAAAATCAGATTTGTATGAATGTTTTGACAAAACTCATTTATGTGTGTGAAGAAGACGAGCCGTGATAATGATAGTGGAAGAACAATAAATTACAGTATACTTTTTTTCTTGTGAGGAATTATGGAGAAGATAAAAGGGGTGATGAGATATAACATCAACATTTGGGCAAGCTATTAGTCGTAATTTGGTTTCTTCACTTCATTGAAATATACAAAGTGAGCACTTAGAAGGGAATTGAAAATAAGACTTGTTTGTGGGTGTTAACGAGTATGGTACTAGAATTATTATTAGGTAGAGCAAGATTTTTGTTACTGTATGTTGACAAGTTTGTTTGCTGTTACTGAAATTCGATTATCAGATATTTTTTTCTGATTGGGAAAATTAAGGAGTTGAGAAGAACTAAAAAAAAGAAAAGAAAAATTAAGAAAAGGAAATATGCACATGATTGAGGCTTTAAGTTTTCTTTCACTCGCTTAGTTCAATGTGTAATCCCTCCCTCCCTATGCGGGCATACAATCTGGTACTAATACTACTTTTAATAATTTTAAGGGGGTAGTAGGACATCTGTAGAGTTTGTTGGTTAGTCTGTTGGCTATCGGTCACTATAAAAAACCGAAATTATTGCGGTGGTTCATAAAAATCGCGACAATATAGATAATAATACGGCGGCGTTCCAGACGCCATTAGGGCATATGTTAAAACGACGCTCCTTTTTAAATTACGGCGGTTCAAAACCGCCACTAATTCCCAACAGTTTTTAATAATTCTTTTTATTTAGAACTCCCCGACTAAAAGGTTAAATATACAAAACATAATTTTAATAGCAACATATTTAGAACTCCCCGGTTAGACTCTTCTCTCTCTCTCTCTACGCCTTCTCAAAAAGACGATTTCCCCAAATCGTTTAAGGTCATATCGTTTAACGCTTCTCCCAAATCCTTCAGTTTTTGTAAGGAGATCAGATTTCAACTCGTTTAGATGTGGTAATGTGTTTCAATTCGTCTATAAATAGCCCTTTTCTGATAAATACTCGTTTGAATACGTCTCCTGTTTCAAGTCGTTCGTGTAATTCCTTTCAAAATGCCGTTGATTTCACTGATTTAAGGCATGCATGTGTGTGTATTGGATGGATATCAGTTTAAAGCACTGATCTTAGCCGTGAATTTTACTGATTTAGCCATTGATTTCATTAATTTAAGGCGTGCATGTGTGTGTATTGGATGAAGATCAATTTAAACCACTGATTTTAGCTGTCGATTCACTGGTTTTTCTGTCAATTTCACCATTTTCGCATTCAATTTTACTGATCCAACCGTCGATTTTATTGGTTTAGCTGTCGGCTTCTCTTTTCTATTTGCTAGGGTTCATGCATGTACTAGAGTGTACTGATTTTCCTCAATTTCTGCTAATGGTTTTATTTCTTCTTTTTATTAGTTTTTAGTCTATTTTTTTGTTCTTTTTCTGTTCAATTGGTTTGATTGTAGTCAAATACTTGCACTTATTTTTGATATTTTTATTTGTTGTTCAGTCTAATACTAACCTAAATTATTATATATGCGCTTGATAGGTAGCTGAAGCTATTGGGATCAACGTCAACAGTGAACAATTTGATAGGTATGCATTATTCTTGTACTGTATTATAATTATCTAGGCTGCTCTTCAGTTGTCAATTCATTTTGATTATAAAATTCAGAAGTGTTGTAATTCTAGTGAATAAACATGTATCTTTTAACTGTGATGTTATAATATTTTACTAGAGGGCCATCGCATTATGCATGATGTCATAGCTGGGAAATGTCTATTTATCCTTTCTGTTACATTGTTCAGATATAAACAATGTAATTCAGGATATTATTTGGGAAATTATAGTTAGGTACTCATTTGCAACTGATCATTGGTAGCAAAGGATATTCCTGATGTACTTATCTTTTTCCTATCACTAGACACTCTAAATTGGTTAAAGATTTAACTTTTGGCTATTTTTTTATATTAAATGATTAGTTAATGGTTATTGTAGATTTGATGATTAATTGTGCTGTTGCTTTACTTTGTTGTGTAAGGAATTCATTGATCAGCTTTTATGAGTAACATTATCATAGAACAAGCCTAAACAGCATGTGAAGCATACAAAAGCACCTAGAATGGCCTAAAACAATATATTCTTGAAATAGCTGTGTATTATCTTAACCAAACTCCACTGTTACAGAACATAACTCCACTACAAGTTCTTGTATAATATATATATATATATATATATATATATATATATATATATATTTCTTGCATGCTGTATTTTTTATTTTTCCCTGAACAAGTTGTTCCTTTCTATTTACAGATTCTTCAAAAGCTGGTTAAGATAATACACAACTATTTCAAGAATTTATTGTTTTAGGCTATTTTAGGTGCTTTTGTATGCTTTACATACTGTTCAGGCTTGTTCTATGATAGTGTTACTCATAAAAGCTGATCAATGTATTCCTTACACAACAAAGTAAAGCAACAACACAATTAATCATCAAATCTACAACAACCATTAACTAATCATTTAATTGACAAAAAAAAGAGCCAAAAGTTAAATCTTTAACCAATTTAGAGTGTCTAGTGACAGGAAAAAGGTAACTACATCAGGAATATCTTCTGCTACCAATGATCAGTTGCTAATGAGTACCTAACTGTAATTTTCTAAATAATGTCCTGAATTACATTGTCTATATCTGAAGAATGTAACAGAAAGGATAAATAAATATTTCCCAGTTATGACATCATGCATGATGCGATGGCCCTCTACAAGTTCTTGTTATATATATATATATATATATATATATATATATATATATATATATATATATATTTTT